TGTTGTTACATATTCCATCATTTCATTTACTGGCTTTCCTGCCAATTCTCTGTCCCATGGGACCTCCTGCAGGAAGTTCCTCAACCCTATGTAATCCCCTCTTTTATAGTCAGGCTTTTCCCATTCAACTCCTGTTACTCTCTCCGCTTGCAGCTCTACTATATATTCAAAGCACAGAACCACGTGGTCGCTAGCTACTAGGGGACTCTCATACATGATGTCCTCAATGTCTGAACTGCCCAATGTGAACACAAGGTCCAATCTTGCTGGTTCATCCTCCCCTCTCACTCTGGTAGTGTCCTTAACATGTTGGTGCATGAGGTTTTCCAGCACCACGTCCATCATCTTGGCTCTCCATGTTTCGGGACCCCCATGTGGCTCCAGGTTTTCCCAGTCAATCTCCATGTGGTTGAAATCCCCCATAACCAGCAACTTTGCTCTGCTGGAGTGAGCTCTTCTTGCCACCTCAGCAAGTGTGTCCACCACTGCTCTGTTGCTCTCTTCATATTCCTCTCTTGGCCTCCTGCAGTTCTGTGGTGGATTATACATCACTGCAATGACCACCTTGTGTTCCCCAGACTGAAGTGTACCTACTATGTAGTCTCTTTCTCCCATCTCATCTATGCCTTCCATTTTCTCGAATTTCCATCTGTTTTATACTAGCAGAGCAACCCCACCTCCCCCTATGCCCCTTCTATCTTTCCTCATGATCCAGTATCCTGGTGGGAAGATTGCATCTTTTATTGTCCCCGTGAGTTTTGTCTCTGTAACTGCTATGATGTCTGGGGACTTCTCGTTGATTCTTTCTTGCCATTCCTCATGTTTATTCGTTAATCCATCTGCATTTGTGTACCAAACCTTCAACTTCTGTTCTAATACTGTAACTGTGGTGTGGGGGGTGGGAACAGAGGGATCGGTGTGTGATGGTTGGTTTGGATTGTTCAGTTGCCTTGGGGGTGTCGTGGCTGGGGTCCTTCTGCAGGTGTTTCTGGGGGGGGTGCTTGTCCTTCCAGTTGTTCCTGGGTTATTCTACTCTCCTTTTTCATTTCCTCCCATTTCTCCTTTCGTGTCTGAACTCTCTCTTTCATCGTCCTCCTTTCCTCCTGTGTTCTGTCTCGATCGAGGTACACACTCATGAACTCCTGCCTGCCTCTCAGCCATGCTTTCTCCTGCAGGATCATGGTTCGGGTTTATTCTGCCTTGAAAATTACTTTGAGAGGCCGATTCATTTTCTCTGTGAACCACCCGATTCTCCGAAAATTTGCCACCTGGGTCATTTCCCCCTCGCCTATCACCTTCATGATACCTTCAATCGCTTTTTTCTCCTCCTGCTTTCTTTCCTCATAAGTTTCCCCTTTAGCTTCGTTTAGCCCATAGACAAACACTGATCTCTCCCTTTCCACCTCCCTCTGTGACTCCCATTGCATCCTCTGATGTGTTTTAGTTTCTTCCCGTGGAGTGTTCCTTCCTTCAGTCCCTTCCCTAGCTATGGCCCCTATCCTCCTTGGTTTCTCCTTCCTGTTCCTGGCCCCCACAGGTGTCTGGTAAGGTCCCTGCACATGTCCTAGTTCCTTCAATGTCTCCCAACCTCACATTTTGTCCTAGTGTGCTCCCTGTCTTTATTTTAGCCCCATGTGGGTTTGTCAGGACCTCTGCATACAGTTTAGTTTCCATGCTCCCTTCAGACCCGTTGTCTGTGTCTGATGTAGCCATTGCTGATGCTGCTTCTGTAATATCTTTGTCTCTATGCTGTTTCAGATGTCTCAGCTCCTCTTCTAATCTCTTTATCTTGTTTTCTGCTGTTGTGGCATGTTGCTTCCACCTTCTACATTCTGCTTCTAACCACTCTTCCATCTTTCTTGCCAGCTCCTCTAGTCTCCTTCCCCAGTCTTCCTCCCTTTTTTTTGAGCTCTGCTTCCCAGTCCTCCCCCCCAGATTCGTCTTTCGAGCCCCTTGTTCTCATCCTAGTTTTAGGTTCCCCCATTGCTCCACAGAAGGAAGGGGAGGGGTGGTTAGGGGGAGGGGTGGTTAGGGGGAGGGGAATAGATGGTTGGGGGGAGAGGGGATGGATGGTTATGAGGAGGGGGAGGATGGTTATTGGAGGGGGAGAGGTAGTTGGGGGAGGTGGGTTAGATGGTTTGGGGGAGGGGTTAGATGGTGTGGGGGAGGGGTAGGTGGCTAGGGTGAGGTGGTTAGGGAAGGGGGAGCGGTGGTTAGGGGAGGGATGGGTACGTGTTTGTGTCAAGTGTATATGAGCTTGTGTATGTGTGTGTGTGTGCACATGTGTGTGTGTGTGTGTTCGCGTGCGTGTGTGTGTGTGTGTGTGTGTGTGTGTGCGTGTGTGTGTGTGTGTGTGTGTGTGTGTGTGTGTGTGTGTGTGTGTGTGTGTGTGTGTGTGTGTGTGTATTCGCCTAGTTAGTTACCATATTGTCCTAGTGCAGGTGTGTGTGTGTATGTGTGTATATGTGTGTGTTCGTGTGTGTGGGGGAGGTGTGAGGGGGAGATACTGCTAATACATACCAGTAATTCTGGGTTATAAAAAGCGGAGTTTGCTGCTAGGGTCTAAAGCTTCTATGAGTGTCTGCCCTTGTGTGTGTGCGTGTGTGCGTGTGTGTGAGGGAGGGATGGTTACGGGGGGGGGGGTAGGTGGTGTGGTTGAAAGATCCGTTATACCTCTCTGTCGTGTATGGTTTATTTGCAATCGTGTCATTACGATTTCTTAAGTCAAGTCAAATTTAGTCTCAGCTATCTTTCCAAGTAATGCTACTCTCTCCACTTATTGCCCTTTCTGGATTTAAGTATCAATTATTGCTGGTTATTATCCTATTCCTTGTTCACATTGAGAGAGGACTTCCTAGCTTCCTAAGTATTCTTACTGCTAATAACTACCGGTAGAAACACTGCCTTACCCCTACGTTGTGTACGAATGGTATATAATACCGACAAGATGAGATTAAGACACATGTGCAACATCTGGGTATCTTTATTGTAGACGTTTCGCCATCCAGTGGCTTTATCAATACAAATTCTAGGACATAACTTGAAGACAGTAGAACTATGTACAGAAGATGAGGTAATCAGTCCCTCAACCTAGGAGTAGGTGCGAACAGCACCACGACTATGGTGCTCTTCGCACCTACTCCTAGGTTGAGGGACTGATTACCTCATCTTCTGTACATAGTTCTACTGTCTTCAAGTTATGTCCTAGAATTTGTATTGATAAAGCCACTGGATGGCGAAACGTCTACAATAAAGATACCCAGATGTTGCACATGTGTCTTAATCTCACCCCTACGTTACCCCTCGCTAGTCTGCTCTACACCTCACCCTCTCCTCAACACTATCTTCACTTTAACTATGTTATTTCTACACTAATTCTGGTAATAGCTTGCAGGAGTGAGTGACCAGTATCTAACAGTGACGCAAGGCCAGACGCCAGGATGCAACATGCAAACCACAATAGGTTAAACCACTGGCCTAGTGGTTAACGCACTGGCCTGTAAATTTTAGGATTCACTTGCCATGGATGCAAACACCCACTCGTTCTGTGGTTTGTTTAACAAATGTGACCTGCTGCTTCCTCCTCGGACTGGTAACTCATCACCAGCTGAATAACCCAAGCTTAAAAATCAGTTATTTGATCACTTCATACAGATCACAGAACACCTCGTGGCGATCACAGAACACCTCGTGGCGATCACAGAACACCTCGTGGCGATCACAGAACACCTCGTGGCGATCACAGAACACCTCGTGGCGATCACAGAACACCTCGTGGCGATCACAGAACACCTCGTGGCGATCACAGAACACCTCGTGGCGATCACAGAACACCTCGTGGCGATCACAGAACACCTCGTGGCGATCACAGAACACCTCGTGGCGATCACAGAACACCTCGTGGCGATCACAGAACACCTCGTGGCGATCACAGAACACCTCGTGGCGATCACAGAACACCTCGTGGCGATCACAGAACACCTCGTGGCGATCACAGAACACCTCGTGGCGATCACAGAACACCTCGTGGCGATCACAGAACACCTCGTGGCGATCACAGAACACCTCGTGGCGATCACAGAACACCTCGTGGCGATCACAGAACACCTCGTGGCGATCACAGAACACCTCGTGGCGATCACAGAACACCTCGTGGCGATCACAGAACACCTCGTGGCGATCACAGAACACCTCGTGGCGATCACAGAACACTTCATGGAGATCACAGAACACTTCATGGAGATCACAGAACACTTCATGGAGATCACAGAACACTTCATGGAGATCACAGAACACTTCATGGAGATCACAGAACACTTCATGGAGATCACCGAACACTTCATGGAGATCACAGAACACTTCATGGAGATCACAGAACACTTCATGGAGATCACAGAACACTTCATGGAGATCACCGAACACTTCATGGAGATCACAGAACACTTCATGGAGATCACAGAACACTTCATGGAGATCACAGAACACTTCATGGAGATCACCGAACACTTCATGGAGATCACAGAACACTTCATGGAGATCACAGAACACTTCATGGAGATCACTGCTAGTGAATGTTTCTCTTATCAGTCAATGGCTTCCCGCTGAGTGCCATCAACGGAAAGCCAAATTTGATTTTAGTCATGTTTCATGGAAAGGAAATAAGGATTTCAATGATCACATCACGAACTGTCCCACCGACGAAATATTTGTTGAGTACGAACTGGTCCAGCGACGAGATCTTCGGTTCACGAACTAATTCAGCGAGGAATCCCATGCGTTTATCCTTTGAGCGGAAGTGCATCAAAGATATTAAATATCACCTTGTGTTCTTATCAATACCTAGTGCACTTATTGTTTTAATTATTACGAAAATGAATAATGACACGGATTATAATCTGATACAGAATACAATGTTTACAGTGACTGTGCTCTTGGAGCGTAGTTAATGGCGCTGTTGGATGGCTATAACTACCTTATATGTCTTGTTGTTTTTATTGCAGACTTGTCCTTTATGTAGAAGTGGTGGTGGTGGTGGTGGTGGTGGTAGCCGCGGGCGTGGTGGTGGAAGCAGGTGCGGCAGTGTCTGAGAAAAGTAAAGCCAGCAGCTCCTTCCCTGCGGCCGCCATCAACAGCAATGCTACACGTGCGGCCATGTACTGGCGCCATATGATCGGGAGACACCCGCAGGCGGCAGCGGCAGCGTCAATGTATTGGCGGATCATGTTCGTGGAGGACCCTGAAGGGGCTGCCAAGGCGGCCATGGAGACCCGCAAGGCCACCTCCAGTGATCCTGAGGCCATGGCCCAATCTGCTTTCTTCTACCAGCGCATGTCTGGCCGTGGCCCCGAATACGCCAGAATGGCTGACATCTACTGGAAGAAGATGGCTGCCCACGACCCCGAAGTCACCGCCAGGTCAGCCATGTACTGGCGCAATGATCCAGAGGCCGCCATGTACTGGTAACAATCATGTGACCAATCGTGACCTAATATCACTAACTACCAGACTGCCTGGCACTCAGAATCTTACATTCACAGCTGTGGCACTAAACCTGACAGGAAGTATTGAAGATTCTTCTAGTACCGAAAGTTGTACTGCTAGTTTTCCTGTACACGAAACCCAGTGTGAAGAATACCAAACATTCTGAATCATACTCAGACATGGGTTCGTAGCCTCTGGAGAGAAAGAAAGAAATTCAACTATCACTTTGGCAATCCTAAAAGCGAACCAGTGAAAGTAATGGAGCAAAATGTTTACTGGCAGAGTGGAAACCTAATTAGGAGATAATGGGTCGCTTCCACGCCAAGCTTGTCACTTCAAATTTGATGATTCTTGGTGCCGAAGCTTGGTGTTGAAGCTTGGTGCCCAAGTTTAGTGTCCAAGTTTGGTGCCCAAGTTTAGTGTCCAAGCTTGGTGGCCATGCTTAGAGTCCAAGCTTGGTGGCCATGCTTAGTGTCCAAGCTTGGTGGCCATGCTTAGTGTCCAAGCTTGGTGGCCATGCTTAGTGTCCAAGCTTGGTGGCCATGCTTAGTGTCCAAGCTTGGTGGCCATGCTTAGTGTCCAAGCTTGGTGGCCATGCTTAGTGTCCAAGCTTGGTGGCCATGCTTAGTGTCCAAGCTTGGTGGCCATGCTTAGTGTCCAAGCTTGGTGGCCATGCTTAGTGTCCAAGCTTGGTGGCCATGCTTAGTGTCCAAGCTTGGTGGCCATGCTTAGTGTCCAAGCTTGGTGGCCATGCTTAGTGTCCAAGCTTGGTGGCCATGCTTAGTGTCCAAGCTTGGTGGCCATGCTTAGTGTCCAAGCTTGGTGGCCATGCTTAGTGTCCAAGCTTGGTGGCCATGCTTAGTGTCCAAGCTTGGTGGCCATGCTTAGTGTCCAAGCTTGGTGGCCATGCTTAGTGTCCAAGCTTGGTGGCCATGCTTAGTGTCCAAGCTTGGTGGCCATGCTTAGTGTCCAAGCTTGGTGGCCATGCTTAGTGTCCAAGCTTGGTGGCCATGCTTAGTGTCCAAGCTTGGTGGCCATGCTTAGTGTCCAAGCTTGGTGGCCATGCTTAGTGTCCAAGCTTGGTGGCCATGCTTAGTGTCCAAGCTTGGTGGCCATGCTTAGTGTCCAAGCTTGGTGGCCATGCTTAGTGTCCAAGCTTGGTGGCCATGCTTAGTGTCCAAGCTTGGTGGCCATGCTTAGTGTCCAAGCTTGGTGGCCATGCTTAGTGTCCAAGCTTGGTGGCCATGCTTAGTGTCCAAGCTTGGTGGCCATGCTTAGTGTCCAAGCTTGGTGGCCATGCTTAGTGTCCAAGCTTGGTTTCCAAGTATATTGTTCAAGATTTTTGATCAAGCCGTCTTCAAGGTAACCATAAACAATATGTCTGTTATTTACGTTGTGTGGGTGCAGTGTACCAACTGTATCCCAAAAATAAAAGTTAACAATATACCTGCTGACTATGTTTCCTCTAACACATATGTTGGTATCCCTGTCTCATGTATACTGTTTCCCCTCACACATGTTGGTATCACTGTCTCATGTATACTGTCTTTCCCCAAACACATGTTGATATCACTGTCTCGTGTACACTGTTTCCCCTCACACATATGCTGGTATCACTGCTTCATGTACACTGACAGCTGTACGAACACAAACTGTCAATAATACAGACAGATTCGCAGCTCCCACAACTCTGTTAATGTATAATCGTAATCAAGATGAATGATACATAACACTGCACAGTACACAACCTTTAACATCACTCTAAGAAGAAACAAAAGTGTTTTTTTTTTCATCTCCAGTTGCATTATTTTTACCACTGATTTCCATTTATTGTGTGAGGGAACTCCATACAAATTAAAAGGTGCCACTAGCAAGTACTGTTTACGAGACGGGTGATACTGACTCGTCTCCCATACAGGTCTTGTTGTACTGGGTGACGTGTGACCATCCAAGACAGTTTTCCACATCATTCTTGTTGTTGCTGCTTTGATTTGATTTCAGCCAAATCTAATAATCAAATTTCGCACAGATACGTCGATTAAAAGTTGGTAATGACAGGAAAGACTTACATTCTCGTTAGCTGGTAGATATTTAGTCCACAGCTTCCTCAGCTTCACTTCAGGAGACTAGTTCTCCAGAGACTGATTTCTTTCCTTAATGAAACACTTCTTAATTGTATCTTAGCTGAATGTTCAAGTTGCTTCATAATGGCCAATGATTGCTGCATGTCTACAGTGTAGCTTAAAGTTGAAGGCATTTAAGGCCTCGAAAATAATCCGATGGGTGAGCCAATGACAAGCTAAACTCCAAATTAAAGATGGTGACGACGTCTCATTTTATCTCAGTTTCAAGAAATATCCTCACGTCTTCTTTGAGCTGAGATCAGCAACTCAGCTTCGTACCAACATTCTCCACTCACCCCCCGCGCTCCACCGGGAATTTTCTCACGATCCTTTCCCAAGGAACCATTCATCCAGCCTGGTGGTTCTCTGGTTCTCTTAACTCTGACACTGGGACCATTGATCCAGCCTGGTGGTTCTCTGGTTCTCTTAACTCTGACACTGGGACCATTGATCCAGCCTGGTGGTTTTCTGGTTCTCTTAGCTCTGACACTGGGACCATTGATCCAGCTTGGTGGTTCTCTGGTTCTCTTAGCTCTGACACTGAGACCATTGATCCAACCTGGTGGTTCTCTTAGCTCTGACACTGGGACCATTGATCCAACCTGGTGGTTCTCTGGTTCTCTTAACTCTGACACTGAGACCATCGATCCAACCTGGTGGTTCTCTGGTTCTCTTAACTCTGACACTGGGACCATTGATCCAGTCTGGTGGTTCTCTGGTTCTCTTAACTCTGACACTGGGACCATTGATCCAGCCTGGTGGTTCTCTGGTTCTCTTAACTCTGACACTGGGACCATTGATCCAGCCTGGTGGTTCTCTGGTTCTCTTAACTCTGACACTGGGACCATTGATCCAGCTTGGTGGTTCTCTGGTTCTCTTAGCTCTGACACTGGGACCATTGATCCAACCTGGTGGTTCTCTGGTTCTCTTAACTCTGACACTGGGACCATTGATCCAGCCTGGTGGTTCTCTGGTTCTCTTAACTCTGACACTGGGACCACTGATCCAGCCTGGTGGTTCTCTGGTTCTCTTAACTCTGACACTGGGACCATTGATCCAGCCTGGTGGTTCTCTGGTTCTCTTAACTCTGACACTGGGACCACTGATCCAGCCTGGTGGTTCTCTGGTTCTCTTAACTCTGACACTGGGACCATTGATCCAGCCTGGTGGTTCTCTGGTTCTCTTAACTCTGACACTGGGACCATTAATCCAGCTTGGTGGTTCTCTGGTTCTCTTAACTCTGACACTGGGACCATTGATCCAGCCTTGTGGTTCTCTGGTTCTCTTAACTCTGACACTGGGACCATTGATCCAGCCTGGTGGTTCTCTGGCTCTCTTACTCTGACACTGGGACCATTGATCCAACCTGGTGGTTCTCTGGTTCTCTTAACTCTGACACTGGGACCATTGATCCAACCTGGTGGTTCTCTGGTTCTCTTAACTCTGACACTGGGACCATTGATCCAGCCTGGTGGTTCTCTGGTTCTCTTAACTCTGACACTGGGACCATTGATCCAGCCTGGTGGTTCTCTGGTTCTCTTAACTCTGACACTGGGACCATTGATCCAACCAGGTGGTTCTCTGGTTCTCTTAACTCTGACACTGGGACCATTGATCCAGCCTGGTGGTTCTCTGGTTCTCTTAACTCTGACACTGGGACCATTGATCCAGCCTGGTGGTTCTCTGGTTCTCTTAACTCTGACACTGGGACCATTGATCCAACCAGGTGGTTCTCTTGTTCTCTTAACTCTGACACTGGGACCATTGATCCAGCCTGGTGGTTCTCTGGTTCTCTTAACTCTGACACTGGGACCATTGATCCAGCCTGGTGGTTCTCTGGTTCTCTTAACTCTGACACTGGGACCATTGATCCAGCCTGGTGGTTCTCTGGTTCTCTTAACTCTGACACTGGGACCATTGATCCAGCCTGGTGGTTCTCTGGTTCTCTTAACTCTGACACTGGGACCATTGATCCAGCCTGGTGGTTCTCTGGTTCTCTTAACTTTGACACTGGGACCATTGATCCAGCCTGGTGGTTCTCTGGTTCTCTTAACTCTGACACTGGGACCATTGATCCAGCCTGGTGGTTCTCTGGTTCTCTTATCTCTGACACTGGGACCATTGATCCAGCCTGGTGGTTCTCTGGTTCTCTTATCTCTGACACTGGGACCATTGATCCAGCCTGGTGGTTCTCTGGTTCTCTTAACTCTGACACTGGGAGGGCAGGTAGGGCTGTAATCATATACGAGCCTGATGGTAATACATTAACGTGTTATAATTAATGTCCAGGCTTCTACCACGCAAACTGGACTGTCTGTTAAGAGTATTGTTCTTAAGCTTGCTATAGACAACCTGATTATAACATGCTTGTGTCTGAAGCCAGACACAGATATACACGAATTATTGATAAAGGATTTAAAAACGTTTGTTTTGCGGATTTCCTCTTGCATATGCCTCCAGGGGCCGCGGGGGCACTGACCCCTAGAACACCCTCCAGATAGACTCCAGGATGGGGCACGATAAAGTCAGTGCCCTCACTAAATTATCACTAAACAAAAACAGTGCCGAATAAAATTTTGGTTTATCAGAAAGCTATAAAAGTCTCATTGGAAAAGATCTAGCAAATTAATTTGAAGAAAAAACAAGAGTGCAGATAAGAACTAGCAGATCCAGTACCATAATATGAGTCAATTAAGCATGTTAATGGAGGAAGTAGCAAGATCAACAGACTACTGAATGGTATTGCTGACAGATAAGGTTAGGATTTAAGGCAGATGAAATTGCAGATTTGGAGAATGTACAGGGGACATTCACTGCATTTATAAGTTCAGTAAAGTGTCTCAATTACTAGGACCGTATGAAGACCCTAGACCTATACTCCTTGAAGCGCAGGCGAGAAATGCACTTCATAATTTACACCTGGAAAATCCTAGATGGACTGGTCCCTATGAAAGCAAAAGACTAGGCAGACGGTGCAATATCTCACAATGAAAAGCAGTATATTTAACACCGAGAAAAAACACAAGTGTCAGGGGCCCAAGACTGTTCAACAGCATCATATCATACACAAAGGGAATTACTAATAACCTCTGGCTTTCTTCAAGATGGAACTGAACAGATACCTAGAGTTAGTGCTTGACCATCCGGGCTGTATTTTGTACGTTGGATTGCGTGCTGCCGGCAGTAACAGCCTGGTTGATCAGGCCCTAAACCACCGTGAGGTCTGGTCATGAACCGGGCAGCGGGGGCGTTGACCCCTGCAACATCTTTCAGGTAGACTGCTGATGGCCTCCGCAATGACTTACTCGGCCAAGTGATGGCCCTAAACCCTGGTCCCTGGCCACTTCCATGGCAGTGACTTACCTGGCCAGGTGTGGTTGTAGCTCCTGGTCCCTGGTCACCTCCAGGGACGCGTACTGGTGCTGGTGACGCGCCATAAACTGGGAGATTTCTGTCTCCTGTTGACCTGTCTGAGGAGGAGCCAGATGATGATATTGATGATGACAACCATTATGATGATGATGATGATGACAACCATTATGATGATGATGATGATGACAACCATTATGATGATGATGATGATGACAATTATTATGATGATGATGATGATGACAACCATTATGATGATGATGATGATGACAACCATTATGATGATGATGATGACAACCATTATGATGATGATGATGACAACCATTATGATGATGATGATGACAACCATTATGATGATGATGATGACAACCATTATGATGATGATGATGACAACCATTATGATGATGATGATGACAACCATTATGATGATGATGATGATGACAACCATTATGATGATGATGATGATGACAACCATTATGATGATGATGATGACAACCATTATGATGATTGATGATGACAACCATTATGATGATGATGATGACAACCATTATGATGATGATGATGACAACCATTATGATGATGATGATGATGACAACCATTATGATGATGATGACAACCATTGTGATGATGATGATGACAACCATTATGATGATGATGATGATGACAACCATTATGATGATGATGATGACAACCATTATGATGATGATGATGACAACCATTATGATGATGATGATGACAACCATTATGATGATGATGATGACAACCATTGTGATGATGATGATGACAACCATTATGATGATGATAAATGACAACCATTGTGATGATGATGATGACAACCATTATGATGATGATGATGACAACCATTATGATGATTGATGATGACAACCATTATGATGATGATGATGACAACCATTGTGATGATGATGATGACAACCATTATGATGATGATGATGACAACCATTATGATGATGATGATGACAACCATTATGATGATGATGATGATGACAACCATTATGATGATGATGATGACAACCATTGTGATGATGATTATGACAACCATTATGATGATGATGATGACAACCATTATGATGATGATGATGACAACCATTATGATGATGATGATGACAACCATTATGATGATGATGATGACAACCATTATGATGATGATGATGACAACCATTATGATGATGATGATGACAACCATTATGATGATGATGACAACCATTATGATGATGATGATGACAACCATTATGATGATGATGATGACAACCATTATGATGATGATGATGATGACAACCATTATGATGATGATGATGACAACCATTATGATGATGATGATGACAACCATTATGATGATGATGATGACAACCGTAATGATGATTATGACAACCATTACACACACACACATACTCATGTATGTGTATATATATATATATATTATATATAATATATATTATATATATATATATATATATATATATATATATATATAATATATACATACATACATACGCTGAAGTCAAAGGTCACGTGAGGTCACTGTCCCAAGCTGTCTGGGAGTCAGCGTGGGGTGTTACCGAGACCAGTTAAGATATATGGACTGTGCTTTTTGTAACATACATAGGAAGCTCAGATAGAGGGTGTGCCTCCCAGGAGCTGGTGTAGGTGACATAGTCAGCAGGTTGGATAATATGTCAGGTAATGGGAAGGGCAGAAGGCAGGAGCTGCTGGATAAGTACAGGATAAGTGGGCGTCATGAGTTTTCGCCCACCATGAGGCAGGCCAAAGCAGCATGGATTCGACTCCTTGGCTAGTTGCAATGTTGTTATTGATCAATACCACTTGTTCGTGGGTACAATAATATAAAATACTGCTCGTTGTACTAGTACACCAAACAGGGAGAAGAATGAAATTATCCTAAATTCATCCATACCAACGTATGTCCTTGGATAGCGAGTACAACATCCAGTTCCGCTGGATGCGCTACTCTTAGGGATTGTATGGTCCCGTGGATTAAGGCATCATGAGTTGCCAAAGCAGCATGGGTTCGACTCCTTAACTAGTCGCCGTGTTGTTATTGATATATATATATATATATGTATATATATATATATATATATATATATATATATATATATATATATATATATATATATATATATATTAATGTCACACTCTTCATCCTCAGCATTACCTTGGCCAAGATCCAGATATCCATTTTGTCTTTTGGGTAGGTCTGTGAGGCAAGGCCCCTCAGTACCTCATCCAGGAAGGGAGCCCAGGAACCTCCCAGCAGGAGAACCACCAGTAGCCGAGGATCTTGTTCAAGCTGAAAGTGGACAGAGACGGAAGATTAAAACAATTTTATATAGTTATTTTTTATTAGTCTTATTAATATGTACGACATGAGAGGGCTCTAGGAGCCAGGTAGTCAGGTGACAGTTGTTAAGTACTTCAGAGACAGGGTTCTGCAACTGCAGTAAGTGAGATCTAGAAGAGTACACGTTTACAATGCTAAAATAGAGCAGGGTAAAGAATCAGACAGCTAGGAAAGGGTCAGTGTATTAATAATATTTAAAGGGTGAGAAAGAGAAATTCGTATAGTATAGATCAATATCCCTAATGTTTGCACACACAGTGATAGACAACATCTCGTGGAGTCAAACACCAACAACAGAGATTTAAAACAGTCACAATATTGTTTCACTAACTAAATAGAGTTCAATGACAATTGACGAAAGACAAGAAAGGGTGTTTGTGTGTGGGAGGGGGGAGGGCAAACTGAACATTCTTGGACTGTAAGAAAGCTCTTGATCCGGTGCCTAACAGGCAACAAATTTACAAACTAAATACAAGCCAGATTTACGGCATTAGGGAGAAGACTCCACTAGATAAGAGGAATAAGGTAGAATACTTCACTTGATAAAGAAATATATGAAAAACAGACGACAAGGAGTCATAGCTAGAGAAATACTTTACTAGTGAAGAGCTTGAAGCAGAGAACAAGAACAAACACAGAAAAGAAAGATCCGATACAAAGGATAAAACCAGCTTCACAAGCAATACTGGAAGCTTATAAAACGGCTCTTAGGAACCTCAACAGGGATTCTGTTTGGATAATACACAGAGTAACACCTGTGTCCGTCCCACAGCTCCGTCACGCAAGAAAGACGCCTGGTGGTTAACGCTCTCGCTTCACACGGTGAGGGCCTGGGTTCGATTCCCAGCCAGAGTAGAAACATTGGACGTGTTTCTTTCCACCTGTTGTCTATGTTCCCCATCAGTAAAATGGGTACCTGGGTGTTAGTCGACTGGTGTGGGTCGCATCCTGGGACACTGACCTAAGGAGGCCTGGTCACAGACCGGGCCGCGGGGGCGTTGACCCCCGGAACTCTCTCCAGATAAACTCCAGATACAAAGGCCTGGCGATTTACCTCACCAATAATCCCTTGCGCCACTGAACACTCTGCAGCATTGGCACTTGGTTCATTAGAAATGTTTCTGATCCAGGTAGTTGGAGCTACATTCTCCCATCTTTGGATCAAACTTAGCTACCTCCCAATCCCCGAAAGCTGTATGACCCGTACAGATTTAGCGCATAACCATGACGCTAATAGCAACGGAAATAATATCACTATAATAATAATAATAATAATAATAATAATAATAATAATAATAATAAAAATAATAATAATAAATAATAATAATGATAATAATAATAATAATAATAATAATAATAATAATAATAATAATAATAATAATAATAATAATAATAGATAATAATAATAATAATTATTATTATTATAAATTAATATTAATAAAACTAATGATAATAAAGCAAATAATAATAAAATTAATAATAATGATAGGAGCGTGGCTGACCTGAGTGGGCGTGGCGTGGGCGGAGTAAGGGTAGTAGGGGCACGCCCCTCGCTCTTCACCCAGCACTTCGAAAGTGTTATAAAAGTCGAGGTTTTGATGGAGACTGTAGGCCAGCAGGGGCCGCCTGGCCTCAACGTCAGCGCTGCCTGCAGGACTGAACGCCACTCGTAGAGGCTCGGTCATTGTGAGTGTACCTGCGGGAGAATTACTGTCTGTGATAGGAAGAAGAGATAGGAACTGTGAAGCTCTTAGACGAAACTCTAGACGATGTTTCGCTCTGTTATGAAACGTCGTGCGACATTTATTCATTAGAGTGCGAGCTTAGTTGTGTATTGTTCTGCCCACTATATGGTACCGTGATTGATTCTTCTTCAGTTTATTTGCTCAAGATGCCTAGGAGGAAGGCAGAGTGAAGGATGTCTAGGAGGAAGGCAGGGTGAAGGATGTCTAGGAGGAAGGCAGGGTGAAGGATGTCTAGGAGGAAGGCAGAGTGAAGGATGTCTAGGAGGAAGGCAGGGTGAAGGATGTCTAGGAGGAAGGCAGAGTGAAGGATGTCTAGGAGGAAGGCAGAGTGAAGGATGTCTAGGAGGAAGGCAGAGTGAAGGATGTCTAGGAGGAAGGCACAGTGAAGGTTGTTAGGAGGAAGGCAGAGTGAACGATGTCTAGGAGGAAGGCAGGGTGAAGGATATCTAGGAGGAAGGCAGAGTGAAGGATGTCTAGGAGGAAGGCAGAGTGAAGGATGTCTAGGAGGAAGGCAGAGTGAAGGATGTCTAGGAGGAAGGCAGGGTGAAGGATGTCTAGGAGGAAGGCAGAGTGAAGGATGTCTAGGAGGAAGGCAGAGTGAAGGATGTCTAGGAGGAAGGCAGGGTGAAGAATGTCTAGGAGGAAGGCAGAGTGAAGGATGTCTAGGAGGAAGGCAGAGTGAAGGATGTCTAGGAGGAAGGCAGGTGAAGGATGTCTAGGAGGAAGGCAGGGTGAAGGATGTCTAGGAGGAAGGCAGAGTGAAGGATGTCTAGGAGGAAGGCAGGGTGAAGGATGTCTAGGAGGAAGGCAGGGTGAAGGATGTCTAGGAGGAAGGCAGAGTGAAGGATGTCTAGGAGGAAGGCAGGGTGAAGGATGTCTAGGAGGAAGGCAGAGTGAAGGATGTCTAGGAGGAAGGCAGAGTGAAGGATGTCTAGGAGGAAGGCAGAGTGAAGGATGTCTAGGAGGAAGGCACAGTGAAGGTTGTCTAGGAGGAAGGCAGAGTGAAGGATGTCTAGGAGGAAGGCAGGGTGAAGGATATCTAGGAGGAAGGCAGAGTGAAGGATGTCTAGGAGGAAGGCAGAGTGAAGGATGTCTAGGAGGAAGGCAGAGTGAAGGATGTCTAGGAGGAAGGCAGGGTGAAGGATGTCTAGGAGGAAGGCAGAGTGAAGGATGTCTAGGAGGAAGGCAGAGTGAAGGATGTCTAGGAGGAAGGCAGGGTGAAGAATGTCTAGGAGGAAGGCAGAGTGAAGGATGTCTAGGAGGAAGGCAGAGTGAAGGATGTCTAGGAGGAAGGCAGAGTGAAGGATGTCTAGGAGGAAGGCAGGGTGAAGGATGTCTAGGAGGAAGGCAGGGTGAAGGATGTCTAGGAGGAAGGCAGAGTGAAGGATGTCTAGGAGGAAGGCAGGGTGAAGGATGTCTAGGAGGAAGGCAGAGTGAAGGATGTCTAGGAGGAAGGCAGAGTGAAGGATGTCTAGGAGGAAGGCAGAGTGAAGGATGTCTAGGAGGAAGGCAGAGTGAAGGATGTCTAGGAGGAAGGCAGAGTGAAGGATGTCTAGGAGGAAGGCAGAGTGAAGGATGTCTAGGAGGAAGGCAGGGTGAAGGATGTCTAGGAGGAAGGCAGAGTGAAGGATGTCTAGGAGGAAGGCAGAGTGAAGGATGTCTAGGAGGAAGGCAGAGTGAAGGATGTCTAGGAGGAAGGCAGAGTGAAGGATGTCTAGGAGGAAGGCAGAGTGAAGGATGTCTAGGAGGAAGGCAGAGTGAAGGATGTCTAGGAGGAAGGCAGAGTGAAGGATGTCTAGGAGGAAGGCAGAGTGAAGGATGTCTAGGAGGAAGGCAGGGTGAAGGATGTCTAGGAGGAAGGCAGAGTGAAGGATGTCTAGGAGGAAGGCAGAGTGAAGGATGTCTAGGAGGAAGGCAGAGTGAAGGATGTCTAGGAGGAAGGCAGAGTGAAGGATGTCTAGGAGGAAGGCAGAGTGAAGGATGTCTAGGAGGAAGGCAGAGTGAAGGATGTCTAGGAGGAAGGCAGAGTGAAGGATGTCTAGGAGGAAGGCAGAGTGAAGGATGTCTAGGAGGAAGGCAGGGTGAAGGATGTCTAGGAGGAAGGCAGAGTGAAGGATGTCTAGGAGGAAGGCAGAGTGAAGGATGTCTAGGAGGAAGGCAGGGTGAAGGATGTCTAGGAGGAAGGCAGAGTGAAGGATGTCTAGGAGGAAGTCAGAGTGAAGGATGTCTAGGAGGAAGGCAGAGTGAAGGATGTCTAGGAGGAGGCAGGGTGAAGGATGTCTAGGAGGAAGGCAGAGTGAAGGATGTCTAGGAGGAAGGCAGAGTGAAGGATGTCTAGGAGGAAGGCAGAGTGAAGGAATGTCTAGGAGGAAGGCAGAGTGAAGGATGTCTAGGAGGAAGGCAGAGTGAAGTGATGTCTAGGAGGAAGGCAGAGTGAAGGATGTCTAGGAGGAAGGCAGGGTGAAGGATGTCTAGGAGGAAGGCAGAGATGAAGGATGTCTAGGAGGAAGGCAGAGTGAAGGATATCTAGGAGGAAGGCAGAGTGAAGGATGTCTAGGAGGAAGGCAGAGTGAAGGATGTCTAGGAGGAAGGCAGGGTGAAGGATGTCTAGGAGGAAGGCAGAGTGAAGGATGTCTAGGAGGAAGGCAGAGTGAAGGATGTCTAAAAGGAAGGCAGGGTGAAGGATGTCTAGGAGGAAGGCAGAGTGAAGGATGTCTAGTAGGAAGGCAGAGTGAAGGATGTCTAGGAGGAAGGCAGAGTGAAGGATGTCTAGGAGGAAGGCAGAGTGAAGGATGTCTAGGAGGAAGGCAGGGTGAAGGATGTCTAGGAGGAAGGCAGAGTGAAGGATGTCTAGGAGGAAGGCAGAGTGATGGATGTCTAGAAGGAAGGCAGGATGAAGGATATCTAGGAGGAAGGCAGAGTGAAGGATGTTTAGGAGGAAGGCAGAGCGAAGGATGTCTAGGAGGAAGGCAGAGTGAAGGATGTCTAGGAGGAAGGCAGAGTAAAGGATGTCTTGGAGGAAGGCAGAGTGAAGGATGTCTAGGAGGAAGGCAGAGTGAAGGATGTCTAGAAGGAAGGCAGGGTGAAGGATATCTAGGAGGATGGCAGAGTGAAGGATGTCTAGGAGGAAGGCAGAGTGAAGGATGTCTAGAAGGAAGGCAGGATGAAGGATATCTAGGAGGAAGGCAGAGTGAAGGATGTCTAGGAGGAAGGCAGAGTGAAGGATGTCTAGGAGGAAGGCAGAGTGAAGGATGTATAGAAAGAAGGCAGGGTGAAGGATATCTAGGAGGATGGCAGGGTGAAGGATATCTAGAAGGAAGGCAGGGTGAAGGATATCTAGGAGGAAGGCAGGGTGAAGGGTGTCTAGGAGGAAGGCAGGGTGAGGGATGTCTAGGAGGAAGGCAGGGTGAAGGATGTCTAGGAGGAAGGCAGAGTGAAGGATGTCTAGGAGGAAGGCAGGGTGAAGGATATCTAGGAGGATGGCAGGGTGAAGGATATCTAGGAGGAAGGCAGGGTGAAGGATATCTAGGAGGAAGGCAGGGTGAAGGATATCTAGGAGGAAGGCAGGGTGAAGGATGTCTAGGAGGAAGGCAGGGAGAAGGATATCTAGGAGGAAGGCAGGGTTAAGGATGTCTAGGAGGAAGGCAGGGTGAGGGATATCTAGGAGGAAGGCAGGGTGAAGGATATCTAGGAGGAAGGCAGGGTGAAGGATATCTAGGAGGAAGGCAGGGTGAGGGATGTCTATGAGGAAGGCAGAGTGAAGGATGTATATGAGGAAGGCAAGGTGAAGAATATCTAGGAGGATGGCAGGGTGAAGGATGTCTGGGAGGAAGGCAGGGTGAAGGATATCTGGGAAGACGGCAGAGTGAAGGATGTCTAGGAGGATGGCAGGATGAAGGATTTCTAGGAGGAATGCAGGGTGAAGGATGTCTAGGAGGAAGGCAGGGTGAAGGATGTCTAGGAGAAATGCAGAGTTAAGGATATCTAGGAAGAAGGCAGTGTGAAGGATGTCTAGGAGGAAGGCAGGGTGAAGGATGTCTAGGAGGAAGGCAGGGTGAAGGATGTCTAGGAGGAAAGCAGTGTGAAGGATGTCTAGGAGGAAGATAGGGTGAAGGATATCTAGGAGGAAGGGAGGATGAAGGATGTCTAGGAGGAAGGCAGGGTGAATGATGTCTAAGAGGAAGGCAGGGTGAAGGATGTTTAGGAGGAAGGCAGGGTGAAGAATGTCCAGGAGTAAGGCAGGGTGCAGGATGTTTAGGAGGAAGGCAGGGTGAAGGATGTTTAGGAGGAAGGCAGAGTGAAGGATGTCTAGGAGGAAGGCAGGGTGAAAGATATCTAGGAGGAAGGCAGGGTGAAGGATGTCTAGGAGGAAGAAAGTGTGAAGGATGTCTAGGAGGAAGGCAAGATGAAGGATATCTGGAGTTAACCTGGAGAGAGTTCAGGGGGTCAACGCCCCGGCGGCCCGGTCTGTGACCAGGCCTAGGAGGAAAACAGGATGAAGGATGTCTAGGAAGAAGGCAGGATGAAGGATGTCTAGGAGGAAGGCAGGGTGAAGGATGTCTAGGAGAAAGGCAGAATGAAGGATATCTAGGAGGAAGGCAGGGTGAAGGATGTCTAGGAGGAAGGCAGGGTGAAGGATGTCTAGGAGGAAGAAAGTGTGAAGGATATCTAGGAAGAAGGCAGGATGAAGGATATCTAGGAGGAAAACAGGATGAAGGATGTCTAGGAAGAAGGCAGGATGAAGGATATGTAGGAGGAAGGTAGGGTGAAGGATGTCTAGGAGAAGGGCATGATGAAGGGTGTCTAGGAGGAAGGTAGGATGAAGGTAGAGTGAAGGATGTCTAGGAGGAACGCAGTGTGAAGTATTTATAGGAAGAAGGCAGGGTGAAAGATGTCTAGGAGGAAGGCTGAGTGAAGGATGTCTAGGAGGATGGCAGGACGAAGGATATCTAGGAGGAAGGCATGATGAAGGATGTCTAGGAGGAAGGCAGGATGAAGGATGTCTAGGAGGACGGCAGGGTGAAGGATGTCTAGGAGGAAGGTAGGATGAAGGATGTCTAGTAGGAAGGCAGGGTGAAGGATATCTAAGAGAAAGCAGGGTGAAAGATGTCTAGGAGGAAGGCAGGATGAAGGATGTCTAGGAGGAAGGCAGGGTGAAGGATGTCTAGGAGGAAGGCAGGGTGAAGGATGTCTAGGAGGAAAGCAGGGTGAAGTTTGTCTAGGAGGAAGACAGGGTGAAGAATGTCTAGGAGGAAGGCAGGATGAAGGATGTCTAGGAGGAAGGTAGGGTGAAGGATGTCTAGGAGGAAGGCAGGGTGAAGGATGTCTAGGAGGAAAGCAGGTTGAAGGATGTCTAGGAGGAAGACAAGGTGAAGAATGTGTAGGAGGAAGGCAGGATGAAGGATGTCTAGGAGGAAGGTAGGGTGAAGGATGTCTAGGAGGAAGGCAGGATGAAGGATGTCTAGGAGGAAGGAAGGATGAAGGATGTCTAGGAGGATGGCAGGGTGAAGGATGTCTAGGAGGAAGGATGGGTGTAGGATGTCTAGGAGGAAGGCAGGATGAAGGATGTCTAGGAGGAAGGAAGGATGAAGGATGTCTAGGAGGATGGCAGGGTGAAGGATGTCTAGGAGGAAGGATGAGTGAAGGATGTCTAGGAGGAAGGCAGGATGAAGGATGCTTAGGAGGAAGACAAAGAGAGGGAGAGACTAAAGAACATATACGTCAAAATAGAGAATGATCCGAGTATTGTGTATGTGCAGCAGTGTGAGAAGAAGACTTCCAGCAACACCCGAATTCAGAAACATAAACAAAGACTTTCCAGCTGACGTGTCCGGCAACGACCTCGTTCAAACTAAACCAGAAATCTCTCGTACTTAGTTCCACTCTAACGCTTGATTTTCTTGATATTTTCTTTCCTCTCAGGAGGAGAGTTATTTTTTTTTTATTTTGACTATAAGAACTACAAGTATGACAAAAGTAAAAAAAATTACCTGGTGACATCGTCTAAACTTTATTTCTGCATCATCTCTCTTGGTGGATTAAAGACGCGAGAATGATGGAGATGGTAACTTGGTTTCGACGAAACCAGGGTCGTCCACTTCACCCTCACTACTGTATTAAATGGAATTCGGTCTCATTCAGCTCTCCACACACAGAAATTAGTTCCTCACCTTTCTTACACTTGTCCCTCAACTATGATTCTCACTTGTCTCTCACATGTCTCTCATCCTTAACTATACCGCTTATGTCCAGGATCGCCAATGCCTTGTGATTATTCCTTGTTAAGAAAGAACTTCAAGAAAGATGCTAGACATGAAGATCAATCCACTGTATGATCGAATTTCCGGCAGCACCCGCAGTCTGTACGAAGAATCTCCCCACAGCAGAAGTCACGTAATGGCAAACATTCATTTTTCTCTATGCATCCGATGTAAGAGATTTACACAGTCAATAACCAGCCTAGAGAAAGGTTCACCAGACGCTGGTACTGGAAATATTGGAGGTGGTTTGACACGATGACCTGGTTCTTCCCTTGTGTCTGACACGTGACACACGTTAAGACAGACACACCAACTGTTGACATACTCGGCCAGGAAACTTATTTTACACCTAAACATTGGCCGTGGTACTGTGTGTCACTGTTATTATCTCTATGAGACCTTCAATCAGGCGAGGTAGAAAGGAGATCTACTTCGCCTGGCCTCACCATCACTTGATTCAAAATATGCGCAAACTTGGAGATTCAGAATACCATTGTGATAGATTTTAATTACTGAACAACTAATTTTGATAAGCTGCTCCGCGATATCAGTAATGTAAACCAGATGAAGTTATTAAATATAGATTATGTAGAGGACATATGGTGTAGATTATAGCAAACATCTCAGTTATCGTGATGTTTGATTATTGTTTGTAGTTTTACGTTTATTTAGCAAGCAAGCCGAACCTGTCTTGGTTACCGTCAGTACTTAGCCTTGTATTAGACACAAGAACTCGTTCTCATTTACCGCGCTTCCCTTGTTTTCGGTGCAGTTGAAAATAAATAGGAATCGCGTCCGTCTCACACTCAGCAGACGGAGGATCAAGCCTCCACCATGTCTTGAGCTGAATAACCCACGTGGGTTTAGGGCTTAACATTATTTGATATAGGAATTTGATATCCCGTCTTTTTCACTTGGCAGCCTAATACACTTACACACGTGAAGCACTACTTACCCTCCTGTCTCTCTCCAAAGACGACATACTCAGCGACAGTGTCTGGCACTGTCTGTATGGTGCCACCCTCACGCTGGATGCCACCCTCACTCTGGGTGCCACCCTCACGCTGGATGTCATCCACAAGCTGGGTGCCACCCACTCGCCGCTCCTGCAGCGTTCTCATCAGGCTACTCACTCGACCCATAACCACTCCTCCTGCAGGACAGACGACATGGGCTGAATAACCTCCTCAGATGAGATCCTTAGTTTCCTGAGAGACCTGAGTCATGGTAGTGCTAGTATATAGGAATGACGGTAGTAATAGTAGTAGTAGTAGTAGTAGTAGTAGTAGTAGTAGTAGTAGTAGTAGTGGTAATGGGGTATAATATTCATTATCCCGTGATGAATAACATACAACTTGCTGGTCGTGTGTCGGGCACACCGGCCCTACCACCTCATAAAATACAGACAGTATAATTTACAGAAATTTCTGCTGTACGGTGTACTCCTACAGCAGCTGGGAAGCTGTGCGGGGCGGAGACAGGGCAGAGAAAGGACGGGCACGGGACGGGGCAGGGCGGGGTCTGGTGGTAATGGGGCGGAGAAGGAAATAGCATAGAATAGAGGGAGAATCGTTTATATGGCACCTATCACTTTCTATTACTATTTATTTACTATTTTTTCTTTAGCTGGTTGCCTAACTTCTCTCTCTTCACAACATGTGTCAATATTCCTCTAGATACACTCTCAAACAATGAAGAAACTGCATTGCTTGAACGCATAGACGCTGTCTCCAATAATGTATGTAATCCTTAAAATTACTCGCTCTTAAAATTACTTGTGTACATACAAAGTGTATGTACACTCGTACATACACACTGCACATTCGTATGCATATATATATATATATATATATATATATATATATATATATATATATATATATATATATATATATATATATATATATATATATGATATATATATATATATATATATATATATATATATATATATATATATATATATTATATATATATATATATATATATATATATATATATATATATGTCGTGCCGAATAGGCAGAACTTGCGATCTTGGCTTAAATAGCAACGCTCATCTTGCCAAATAGGACAAGTGAAAATTTGTGTATGCAATAATTTCGCCAAAATCATTCTGAGCCTAACGAAAAAATTATATTTCACTGTGTTTGTTTAGTATTAAATTATTGTAAACAAATATAAGATATATTTAGTTGGGTTAGGCTAAAATAAATTGCGCTTGTTATAATAAGGTTAGGTAAGTTTTCTAAGTTCCTTTTGGTGCAAAATTATAAAATTTTACATCAACATTAATGAAAAAAATATATCTTTTAACGTATAAGAGAAAATTTTAGAATGGACTTAATTATAAATGAGTTCTTGCTAATTGACCAGTTTTACATATTCGGCACGACATATATATATATATATATATATATATATATATATATATATATATATATATATATATATATATATATATATATATATATATATATATATATATATATATATATATATAATTTATATATATATATATATATATATATATATATATATATATATATATATATATATATATATATATATATATATATATATATGCATGCATAGTTCCTTTGTATAAAGACAAAGGGGACAAAAGAAAGTGCAAAAATTATAGGGGGATAAGTCTGTTGAGTATACCTGGTAAAGTATATGGTAGAGTTATTATTGAAAGAATTAAGAGTAAGACGGAGAATAGGATAGCAGATGAACAAGGAGGCTTTAGGAAAGGTAGGGGATGTGTGGACCAGGTGTTTACAGTGAAACATATAAGTGAACAGTATTTAGATAAGGCTAAAGAGGTCTTTGTGGCATTTATGGATTTGGAAAAGGCGTATGACAGGGTGGATAGGGGGCAATGTGGCAGATGTTGCAGGTGTATGGTGTAGGAGGTAGGTTACTGAAAGCAGTGAAGAGTTTTTACGAGGATAGTGAGGCTCAAGTTAATGTAGGAAAGAGGGAAATTATTTCCCAGTAAAAGTAGGCCTTAGACAAGGATTTGTGATGTCACCGTGGTTGTTTAATATATTTATAGATGGGGTTGTAAGAGAAGTAAATGCGAGGGTCTTGGCAAGAGGCGTGGAGTTAAAAGATAAAGAATCACACATAAAGTGGAAGTTGTCACAGTTGCTCTTTGCTGATGACACTGTGCTCTTGGGAGATTCTGAAGAGAAGTGGCAGAGATTGGTGGATGAATTTGGTAGGGTGTGCAAAAGAAGAAAATTGAAAGTGAATACAGGAAAGAGTAAGGTTATGAGGATAACAAAAAGATTAGGTGATGAAAGATTGGATATCAGATTGGAGAGAGAGAGTATGGAGGAGGTGAATGTATTCAGATATTTGGGAGTGGACGTGTCAGCGGATGGGTCTATGAAAGATGAGGTAAATCATAGAATTGATGAGGGGAAAAGGGTGAGTGGTGCACTTAGGAGTCTGTGGAGACAAAGAACTTTGTCCTTGGAGGCAAAGAGGGGAATGTATGAGAGTATAGTTTTACCAACGCTCTTATATGGGTGTGAAGCATGGGTGATGAATGTTGCAGCGAGGAGAAGGCTGGAGGCAGTGGAGATGTCATGTCTGAGGGCAATGTGTGGTGTGAATATAATGCAGAGAATTCGTAGTTTGGAAGTTAGGAGGAGGTGCGGAATTACCAAAACTGTTGTCCAGAGGGCTGAGGAAGGGTTGTTGAGGTGGTTCGGACATGTGGAGAGAATGGAGCGAAACAGAATAACTTCAAGAGTGTATCAGTCTGTAGTGGAAGGAAGGCGGGGTAGGGGTCGGCCTAGGAAAGGTTGGAGGGAGGGGGTAAAGGAGGTTTTGTGTGCGAGGGGCTTGGATTTCCAGCAGGCATGCGAGAGCGTGTTTGATAGGAGTGAATGGAGACAAATGGTTTTTAATACTTGACGTGCTGTTGGAGTGTGAGCAAAGTAACATTTATGAAGGGTTCAGGGAAACCGGCAGGCCGGACTTGAGTCCTGGAGATGGGAAGTACAGTGCCTGCACTCTGAAGGAGGGGTGTTAATGTTGCAGTTTAAAAACTGTAGTATAAAGCACCCTTCTGGCAAGACAGTGATGGAGTGAATGATGGTGAAAGTTTTTCTTTTTCGGGCCACCCTGCCTTGGTGGGAATCGGCCAGTGTGATAAAATATATATATATATATATAATATATATATAATATATATATATATATATATATATATATATATATATATATATATATATATATATATATATGTATATATATATATATATATATATATATAATATAATTATAATATATATATATATATATATATATATATATTTATATATATATATATATATATATATATATATATATATATATATTCAGACAGGTTCAACGTACACACATAATTTTCACTCATAAATGCATATACCAGCTATGGGATCATACACTGATATAATATACACCAATACATGGACACACAGTATACTCTCATACACATAAACTCATAAGGCACGAGGAACTTTCTGCAAGAGGGTCAGTGGGAAAGAGTATTGGTAGGAAAGTCAGTAAACGAAATGATGGAATACGTAACAACAAAATGCAAGGAGGCAGAAGAAAGGTTTGTTCCCAAGGGCAACAGAAATAATGGCAAGACCAGAACGAGCCGTTCGTTTACCCGAAGGTGTAGGGAGGCAAAAACTAAGTGTGCTAGAGAATTGAAAAAGTACAGAAGACAAAGGGCCCGGGAAAATAAAGAGATTATTCGAAGAGCAAGAAACGAGTATGCACTGATAACGAGGGAGGCGCAGCGGCAGTACGAAAACGATATAGCATCGAGAGTCAAGTCTAACCCGAAGCTGTTGTATTGCCACATTAGAAGGAAGACAACAATCAAGGACCAGGTAATCAGGCTGAGGAAGGAAGTTGAGGAGCTAACAAGAAACGACTAAGAAGTATGTGAGGAGCTCAGCATGAGACGGAAGAATTTACAGTAGAGACAGAAATTACTCTGGGAAGTCAGAATAGGGGATTACACCAACAAGGGATATACCAACAAGTGCTGGATGAAATACCACAAGCGAGGAGGAGGTAAAGAAGCTGCTAAGTGAACTTGATACCTCAAAGGCGGTGGGACTGGACAACATCTCTCCGTGGGTCCTTAGAGAGAGAGCTGAGACGTTGTGTGTGCCACTAACAACAATTTTCAACACATCCCTTGAGACTGGGCAACTACCTGAGGTATGGAAGACAGCAAATGTACTCCCAGTATTTAAGAAAGGAGACAGACACGAGGCACTAAACTACAGACCAGTGTCACTGACGTGTATAGTATGCAAAGTCATGGAGAAGATTATCAGGAGGAGAGAGATGGATCACCTAGAATGGAACAAGCTTATAAATGACAGCCAGCACGGATTCAGGGAAGAAAATTCCTGTGTCACAAACCTACTGGAATTTTATGACAAGGTAACGGAAGTAGGACACGAGAGAGAGGGGTGGGTGGATTGCATTTCCTTTTACTGCAAGAAAGCCTTCGACACAGTTCCTCACAAGAGATTGTGCAAAAACTAGAGGATCAGGCACGCATAACAGGAAGGGCACTGCAATGGATCAGGGAATACCTGACAGGGAGACCAGCGAGTCATCGTATGTAATGAGGTGTGGGCGCCAGCGACGAGCGGGGTTCCACAGGGATCAGTCCTAGGACCAGTGTTGTATATATGATGACATGTGGTATATGTGAATGACACGACGGAAGGGATAGACTCAAAAGTGTCCCTGTTTTCAGATAATGTGAAATTAATGAGGAGAATTAAATCGGATGAGGATCAGGCAGGACTTGAAAAAGACCTGGACAGGCTGCAAACCGGGTCCAGCAACTGGTTCCTTGAACTTAACCCTGCCAAATGCACAGTCATGACGATCGGGGAAGGGCAAAGAAGACCGCAATCAGAGTATAGGCTAGGTGACCAATGACTGCAAACCTCGCTCAAGGAAAAGGATTTTGGGGTGAATATAATACCGAGTACATCTCCTGAGGCGCACATAACCAGATTACTGCTGTAGCGCATGGGCGCTTGGCAAACCAGGGAATAGCGTTCCGTTACCTCAGTAAGGAATCTTTCAAGACTCTGTACTCTGTGTACGTCAGGCCCATACTGAACTATGAAGCACCAGTTTGGAACCCACACCTGATCAAACACTTCAAGAAATTAGGGAAAGTGCAAAGGTTTGCAGCAAGACTAGTTCCAGAGCTAAAGGAAATGCCCTACGACACTGGAGGACAGGAGGGTTAGGAGAGACATGATAATGACATACAAAATACTGCGAGGAATTGACAAGGTGGACAGAGACAGGATGTTCCAGAGATGGGACACAGAAACAAGGGGTCACAAGGAGTCAGATGAGTCAAAGAGATGTTAGGAAGTATTTCTTTAGTCATAGAGTTATCAGGAAGTAGAATAGTCTGGCAGATGACGTAGTGGAGGCAGGAACCATACACAGTTTTATGATGAGGATTGATAAAGCTCATGGAGCAATGAGGGAGAGGACCTAGTAGCGATCAGTGAAGAGGCGGGCCAGGAGCTATGAATCGACCCTTGCAACCACAAGTAGGTCAGTACAAACAGGTGAGTACACTGTTCACTTATGTATAGGTGCCCCGTGGCCTGGTAGGCAACGATATCGCCTCACACACTGAGTGTTCGTGATTCGACCCCCGGCAAGGGTAGAAATATTGGGCATGTTTCCTTACACCTGCTATCCCCATTCACCTAGCAAGCAAGCAGGTACCTGGGTCTTAGTCGACTGGTGTGGGTCGCATCCTGGGGGAGAAGACTGAAGGACCACAATGGAAATAAGACAGACAGTCCCTCGATGACACACTGACTTTCTCGTGTTATCATGCATGGCTAACCCTCCTGGGTTAAAAAATCCGAACAAAATCTTATCTTATCTCTTATCCACAATGCACATCCGAACACAGTGCCTTGATAATTTCAGAATAAAATCAGAAGACAGATGAGAAGGCAGGAAAAACCCACGAAAAAGATTATGTAGAAAATTAGGTTAGGTTAGGTTAAGTTAGGTTAGGTTAGGTTAGGTTAGGTTAGGTTAAGTTAGGTTAGGTTAGGTTAAGTTAGGTTAGGTTAGGTTAAGTTAGGCTAGGTTAGGTTAGGTTAGGTTAGGTTAGGTTAAGTTAGGTTAGGTTAGGTTAGGTTAGGTTAGGTTACGTTACGTTACGTTACGTTACGTTACGTTACGTTTCTCAGGAAACAGGACAAGTGTTTCCTGACACGGGTGTTAGTTATATGATGACCCGCAGATGGAGCTTTCGGTCATCTGACCGAGACCTTCCGCGGGCTTACCGGTCCACCCCTTTAAAAATTATAGTTATAATTATAATCATTAGGAATTCTGATCATGAAAAAATAGCAAGAGAATGTAGTAAGAACAAGAAGGAAAACAGACCAGGATGATCAACATGTCTACAATCACCTTTAAGAACAGACCAGACGAGGTTCTCGTCAGTCCTTACTTCTTCTTTATTACTTCCCTTTGTCTTTCCTTTCTTCGCTGCTTCATCGTCTTTATTCTCGCTTGAAAAGTTGGCTTCCTCTTCAACTTCTCTTATTTTTCTTTTATTTTTTTCGTCATTATCGTTTTTATCAGAGATCTGAATCGCGTCTTTTTTCAGTCCTGTGTTCTCATCTTCGTAATCTTCTTGCTTCTTTCTAGCTAAGACTTTTGCCTCATTATTCTTAAATTTAGTTTCCTTTTCGAGATTTTCCCCTGATTCTCTAGGAATATTTACATTGTCTCTAATACTATCATGTTCTCCCTCTCTCTCCTCGTTATTCATTTTATCCTCTTCACCCTCTTCGGCCGTTTTCTTATCTACGTATTTCTCCTTTCGTTTCTGTTTCTTGCCGTCATCAGGACTCAGGAAAGAAACATGAGCCACGATCAGTGAATTTTCAACATCCATCAGGTGCGCTCTGGCGTCCGCGTAACTTGCTACGAAGTAAACAAACTCGCCCCACCTATAAAATATAAATAATCTTATCTTACAATTGGTAACAAAAAAAATTAAGCTCAAACTTGCAGAGGTTATTAATAACTTTTTTTTTTAGATTATTAATCTTAAGTAGTTAGGTATCCCGTAATCTTCTTTTTTTTTTTTATTAACACATCAGCCGATTCCCACCAAGGCAGGGTGGCCCTAAAAACAAAAACTTTCACCATCATTCACTCCATCACTGTCTTGCCAGAAGGGTGCTTTACACTACAGTTTTTAAACTGCAACATTAACACCCCTCCTTCAGAGTGCAGGCACTGTACTTCCCATCTCCAGGACTCAAGTCCGGCCTGCCGGTTTCCCTGAACCCCTTCATAAATGTTACTTTGCTCACACTCCAACAGCACGCCAAGTATTAAAAACCATTTGTCTTCATTCACTCCTACCAAACACACTCACGCATGCTTGCTGGAAGTCCAAGCCCTTTGCACACAAAACCACCTTTACCCCTTCCCTCCAACCCTTCCTAAGCCGACCCCTACCCCGTCTTCCCTCCACTACAGATTTATACACTCTCGAAGTCATTCTGTTTTGTTCCATCCTCTCTACATGTCCGAACCACCACAACAATCCCTCCTCAGCCCTCTGGATAAAAGTTTTGGCAATCCCACACCTTCTCCTAATTTCCAAACATTCACCTCCTCCATACTCTCTCCTTCCAATCTGATATCCAATCTTTCGTCACCTAATCTTTTTGTTATCCTCGTCACCTTACTCTTTCCTATATTCAATTTTAATTTTCTTCTTTTACATACCCTACCAAATTTATCCAGCAACCTCTGCAACTTCTCTTCAGAATCTCCCAAAAGCACAGTGTCATCAGCAAAGAGCAACTGTGACAACTCCCACTTTGTGTTAGATTCTTTATCTTTTAACTCCACACCTCTTGCTAAGAACCTCACATTCACTTCTCTTACAACCCCATCAATAAATATATTGAACAACCATGGTAACATCACACATCCTTGTCTAAGGCTACTTTTACTCGGAAATAATCTCCCTCTTTCCTACATACTCTAACCTGAGCCTCACTATCCTCGTCAAAACTCTTCACTGCTTTCAGTAACCTACCTAATATACCATACACCTGCAACATCTGCCACATTGCCCCCCTATCCACCCTGTCATACGCCTTTTCCAAATCCATTAATGCCACAAAAACCTATTTAGCCTTATCTAAATACTGTTCACCTATATGTTTCACTGTAAACACTTGGTCTACACACCCCCAACTTTTCTTAAATCTTCCTTGCTCATCTGCTATCCTACTCTCTGTCTTACTCTCATTTTTTTTTTCAATAACAACTCTACTATATACTTTACCAGGTATACTCAACAGACTTATTCCCCTATAATTTTTGCACTCTCTTTTATCCCCTTTGCCTTTATACAAAGGAACTATGCATGCTCTCTGCCAATCCCTAGTTACCTTACCCTCTTCCATACATTTATTAAATAATAGCACCAACCACTCCAAAACTATATCCCCACCTGCTTTTAACATTTCTATCTTTACCCCATTAATTCCAGCTGCCTTACCCCCTTTCATTTTACCTACTGCCTCACGAACTTCCCCCACACTCACAACTGGCTCTTCCTCACTCCTACAAGATGTTATTCCTCCTTGCCCTATACACGAAATCACAGCTTCCCTATCTTCATCAACATTTAACAATTTCTCAAAATATTCCCTCCATCTTCCCGATACCTCTAACTCTCCATTTAATAACTCTCCTCTCATATTTTTAACTGACAAATCCATTTGTTCCCTAGGCTTCCTCAACTTATTAATCTCATTCCAAAACTTTTTCTTATTTTCAATTTATTTAAGGTGAGTGCAAAAATGTATGATTAAGGTATTCAATGAGCTTTACTCAAATCACAGAATATTTTGGCTTATTATACCAGTATATCTGTATGGTCGGTGTATTCGGGAAATCAGTTAATAATTCCAATAAGTCAGGTTAATGGATGTTTTAAAGCATATCGTCCTGAAGTATCTTCATGCCGTATTGTTATCTTCCTTGCATGTATGGGCAGTGTATTATATGAATCATTAACTGGTAGAGTCATCAGGTGCAGCAGTAATTCATCAGACTGTTATATATGACAGTTAATAACAAAATTAACAAAAAATAAGTAAAGGAACGATGCTTCGGTTAACTTACAAGCTGACAACAATAACTAGGTCGTCCTCGGGCAAGTTCTTCAGCTGGTCCTCCAGTCTGGCGTCCTCCTCACACCTTCCTGAAGGACACCAGTTTTTCAACACCTGCCAAGGAGAGAGAGAAATCTTAAAGTGGAATATCGGCTGAAGTTGTATTGTTGTTGTCGCTGACATCTGTGGTGGGGATGAGAACGGTCATTAACGTCAATTATATAAATTACGTATAGAATCAGTTTTGAAGAGTCAAGATGTATCGAGCTCCTTACAAGCTTTCATGAAGTTTAAAACTACGAGTGTGGTGGTTGTAGCGCCAGTCTACTCTACACCCTACACGTCAACACACTGTGAGTGTAGTGGATGTATCACCAGTCTACACCCTACACGTCAACACACTGTGAGTGTAGTGGATGTATCACCAGTCTACACCCTACACGTCAACACACTGTGAGTGTAGTGGATGTATCACCAGTCTACACCCTACACGTCAACACACTGTGAGTGTAGTGGATGTATCACCAGTCTACACCGTACACGTCAACACACTGTGAGTGTAGTGGATGTATCACCAGTCTACACCGTACACGTCAACACACTGTGATTGTAGTGAATGTATCACCAGTCTACACCGTACACGTCAACACACTTTGAGTGTAGTGAATGTATCACCAGTCTACACCGTACACATCAACACACTGTGAGTGTAGTGGTTGTTGTACCAGTTTACTCTACACCCTACACGTCAACACTAACTGGGTGTAGTTGTCGTCTCCTATGAAGACAGAAACACACGTCCTAAAATAAGCTTTCAATGGGACGACGTTTTACTCTGTAAAGAATATTTTTTTTTTAAATTGCCGCTGGTAGAGCTACAATTTGGCCAAGTAACAGCTTTCTTTAAGCCTTGAACTTTTATCTTCACATATTTCGCACGTCACGCACTACATAACCCGCTTACGAATAAACAAATGTGAAGAATGTTTATTTTCAGAAACATCTCATCGACAAGGAGTGTGTGGAAGTTACACTGAACTTATCCACATAAATAATACACGCCAAATGGCATTAATAATGAACAACTCCAGGAAGATCAGTCTCCCAGCCGTCAGATCTACCTCTCCACTACGACTGATGTCTCCAGACTGAAGAAGTCTGTTATACAGACGAAACGTTTCAATAATAAAGATACTGAACTGCTGCAAATGTGTCTTCATCAGATTGTCCAAATTCCCACCAAGGAGAGTGACCCAAAAAAAGGAGAAACACTTTCATCATCATTCATTCCATCACCGTCTTGCCAGAGGCGTGCTGACACTACAGTTAAAAAACTGCAACAAATCTCCACCCCTTCTTCAGGGTACAGGCACTGTACTCCCCACCTCCAGGACTCAAGTCTGGCTAACCGGTTTCCCTACTCACACTCTAACAGCACGTCAAGTCATAAAAACCATTTGCCTCCACTTGCTCCTACTTAACACACTCACACATTAAACCTCCTCGAACATAAAACCTCCTGTACCCCCTCCCTCCAACTTTTCCTGGGCCGACCCCTACCCCGCCTTCCTTCCATTACAGATTTATATGCACTCCAAGTTATTCTATTTTATTCCATCCTCTCTAAATGTCCAAACCACCTCAACTATCCTCTGCTATCTGGATAATAATTTTAGAACCCCTCATCTCCCTCTGATCTCCAAACTGCTTATTCTCTTCATAATATTCACACTAACATCTCCACTACCTCCTCCAGACTCCATCCCTCCAATCTGATATCCAATCTTTCATTACCTAATTTGTTTGTTATTCTTATCATCTTGCTCTTTCCTATGTTCACTTTCAACCCTGACCCGGTGGCCTGGTGGTGGTGGCCCGGTGGCCTGGTGGCTAAAGCTCCCGCTTCACACACGGAGGGCCCGGGTTCGATTCCCGGCGGGTGGAAACATTTCGACACGTTTCCTTACACCTGTTGTCCTGTTCACCTAGCAGCAAATAGGTACCTGGGTGTTAGTCGACTGGTGTGGGTCGCATCCTGGGGGACAAGATTAAGGACCCCAATGGAAATAAGTTAGACAGTCCTCGATGGCGCACTGACTTTCTTGGGTTATCCTGGGTGGCTAACCCTCCGGGGTTAAAAATCCGAACAAAATCTTATCTTATCTTACCAGGTGCTTAGTAAGCTGAATTTAACAATAGACTTACTAACTGATAGATTGTCTCACCAATAACTTATTTCACTAATAGACTATCCCACCAAGAGACTATATATCAGCTTGTCTCACTAAGACTGACTAAAAAACTGACTGAAAATTTATTGAAAACTGACTGACGTGAAAAACTGACTGACAAAGCTGACTCAAAGCAACTGACTCAGCGAAAGTGTTCGACGAGGACTCACCTGAACATTGGGGTACTGCAGCCTGCAGAGAGATTGCAGAAAGTGGTCCTCCCTGGTGCTCGCGTCTCCTAGCAGACCCACCACGTGAACACCTGCGGCCAGAAGAGGGTTTAAGTGAACTTGAAAGGGTATAAGCCTGCATGAAGCAGGTGTAAGTGCGCAAGACGGAGAGTAAGAGAGTATTAGAGAGGCATAGGAGGGTATAAGTAGGTAGAAAGTGAGTGTAAGTCGGTATAAGGTGATTAATGCAGAAATGATAGTTCTAGGCCTTTCATGTTGCAATCAACACATCATCGGGAGCTTGCAATGTTGCAGAAAAGAGAAGGAGGTCTATGCAAATACGATCAGGGAAAGCGTGTTTTGTGGAACATGGCAGAGAAGCTGGAGGCAGGAAGTGCCCCTCAGTACCAATATCCATATCCAGAAAGACTGAATATTATAGCATTAGAAGACAGCCAGCCCAAAGCCACTAATATTGCAGTAGTAGCCTAACGAACGTATTATGACAATTATCAAAAATTCGGTCATATGATATAAATGACTTCACATTCCAAATATAGATATCACTGTTAATTGTCTTATGAATTTCCACACCTCTAGAAAACGGGTCCATTTAATGGGACTCATTGAAAGGGATTCATCTGTAAATTATTCAAAGGAAAACAGCCGTAATTTATCTATCCCACAAGATTCTGAGGCAGACGTTGGTCTAACCATCAACAAAACGAGCAGGAAAAACAGGTTTTAATTCTTCGGTGTGGAATTACACTTAAGATAATCCACACCAAGGAATTAGGGCATGTTTTTCCTGTGTTATACATGATAGTCAGTGCTCCCTTACGTCCAGTATGACCGCCAAGATAACTAATTACCTACGGCGTTACACGCAACAGCTCAATATATGAACGACCCAGCATTAGGAATCCTAATTATTTCCTTTCTGAAAAGAATGTCATACGAAGGGAGAAATATCAAAACTTGCCTTTCTAATTATTTTTCAGACCAGTGAATTTAGATGACACAGATGCAGTACGCCAGGGAACTTAAAAAGTGAAAGCTTTCTTCTTCCTCCTCCACATCCTCCTTTTCCTACTCCTCTTTCTCCACCTCCTCCTCCTCCTCCTGGTGTCACAACCTACCTGCACCGAAGCTTCCTGACTCCTGTACTCCTGCTGTTGTCAGCGTCCATAAGATACACATGGCAGCAAGACCAGGAACCACTGGGATCCCGCGCCGTCTCATGATGTGTAGCAGCAGGTAGTGTGCTACTACTGTGTAGCAGTAGTTCCCTCAGCGTCTCACTGGATGTGTAGCAGGTAGTGTGCTACTGCTGTGTAGCAGGTGGTCTGCTACTGCTGTGTAACAGGTAGTGTATTACTGTTGTGTAGCAGGTAGAGTGCTACTGCTGTGTAGCAGGTGGTGTGCTGCTGCTTTGTAGCAGGTAGTGTGCTACTGCTGTGTAGCAGGTGGTGTGCTACTGCTGTGTAGCAGGTGGTGTGCTACTGCTGTGTAGCAGGTAGAGTGCTACAGCTGTGTAGCAGGTGGTGCGCTGCTGCTGTGTAACAGGTAGTGTGCTACTGCTGTGTAGCAGGTGCTGTGCTACTGCTGTGTAGCAGGTGGTGTGCTACTGCTGTGTAGCAGTAGTTCCCTCAGCGTCTCACTGGGTGTGTAGCAGGTAGTGTGCTACTGATGTGTAGCAGGTGGTGTGCTACTGCTGTGTAGCAGGCGCTGTGCTACTGCTGTGTAGCAGGTGGTGTGCTACTGCTGTGTAGCAGTAGTTCCCTCAGCGTCTCACTGGGTGTGTAGCAGGTAGTGTGCTACTGATGTGTAGCAGGTGGTGTGCTACTGCTGTGTAGCAGGCGCTGTGCTACTGCTGTGTAGCAGGTGGTGTGCTACTGCTGTGTAGCGCTGCTTCCCTCAGCGTCTCACAGGAAAGTGCTCCGACGCAACATTCCAGACTCTGCCAACGTCAACAGGAAAAATCTAAGCTGATTTTAGAAATCCACGTCAGTGTGTATCGCTTGACGCTGTGTCGCACTTATGTACATCTGTGTCACCTGACACTGAGTCACACTTATATACATCAGTGTCACCTGATACTGTGTCACACTTATGTACATCTGTGTCACCTGACACTGTGTCACACTCACGTACATCTGTGTCACCTGACACTGTGTCACACTCATGAATGTCCGTGTTACCTGACACTGTGTCACACTCATGAATGTCCGTGTTACCTGACACTGTGTCATGCTCATGTGTAACAACAACAAAAAATCACAATACCATGACTGGAACAATAAACAAATAACCCGCACATAGAAGAGATAAACTTACCAGGACGTTTCGGTCCGACTTCGACTTTGTAAATGGTAAAAGTCAGACCGAAACGTCTTCGTAAGCTGCTCTTTTCTATGTGCGGGTTATTTGTGTATATACTCATGTACATCTGCCACCTGACACTGTGCCACACTCATGAACGTCTATGTCACTTGACATTGTGTCACACTCATGAACGTCCGTGTCACCTAACACAGTGTCACACTCACGAACGTCTGTGTCACCTGACACTGTGTCATACTCAGATACATCTGAGTGTGTCACCTGACACTGTCACACTCATTAATTCAATTCAATTCAATTCAATTCAAGTTTACCAATTCGTCTCTCAACCCTTGAGTAGAGAGGACGTGTGCTGCTGCTACCCCCTGGTGTTGACTGGGTGCAGTAATATTTTCACAACATGGTGCAGGCTTGTCGCCGGCGGGTTAATACAGTCTGTATTGAATTAACCAGTGGAGCTATCATGGGGCCGTCTATGGAGTTACTTCTACCAGCAATAATTAGAGACACCTACGGCGTTGCTACTGAAGAGATTTGTGGACTTGCCTTGAATGGCACGAAGAGGATATTTCTTAAATTCAATTCGGCGAGTATGTATGAGGCAGTGGTGAACAAGTTTCAGGAAGCGGCCATACCTGTGAATCATGCTGTCACGGTGAGGATGCATGATGTATCAAGTTACTTCACGGGGTGGGGGATCGGAAATGTGCCATTAAAGGCGGATGATCTGACTAAGGTTCGTCATGATAAATATGGGACGGTACCAGGGTCACTGCAGGAAGGTGGTCAGGGGATTTTAAATGGGGATACCTGGGGGTATTACTCTGCAAAGTGCGATACGACACCCAAACCCGTCGTATTGGTGATGGACGATTTCAGAACCCCAAGGTATTTGTGACATTGCGGGGCAACGACGCATTTGTGTTTGTGGGGTCGTATAAAACACCTGGCAGCGCAATGTGGTAGAGGACGGGAGAAACGCCCTGCAACAACGAAGAAACGTAGAGGAAGGGAGGGGAGAAAGAGCAGCCTTTTTCACACTGCCTCTGCAGAGTGCATCATAGGTGGGGAGGTTGGAAGGGCAAGAAATGGCGGGTCCCACGAGGGGGGGGGGACCCCCCCCTTTCCCTTGGACGTGGTTCAGGCTTTGGAGGAAATTCATCGCGGAAGTAAAATGATAGAAAGGGGGAAAACATCGACAAGGACGACGTTGGGGATATTTTGGGCACGGGGCCTTATCAGGAAGAAGGCCGTCCTGGATTTGAGATATATGGAGGACAAGAGGCGAAGATATTTCGTCCTAAGGTGGTGACAAGGCTGTCTTGTGGGTGAATACGGGGGAGGTTGGGTTCATCGTGGTGTGATTTGATACGAGGCAGGTGACGGAACAACGCAAAAGCGCCAGCAGCGCTTTACGATTCAGATGAAGTGCTTACGCCCCACAAGTTCGGGGAAAAAACATCGGGGGATGTCACCCGAGGGGTTAAAAAGACACTCAGGGACAGGGATGAGTAAAGTGCACAAAAAAGGGGGGGGGGAGGGATAAGATTGCAAGGGGGCCAGTACAAAAAGTTTGTTCAAGGGGAAAACCCTTCTTTGTGGGTTTTTAAGTGCTTGACTTGAACATAAAATGGTTTGAGGTCGCAGAGAAAGTGTGAGGGGTTTGGGAGTTTTTTGGGCGTCATGGTGTTGAGTTGTGTTTTTTCGCAGGGCATAATTATAGAATGTTTTTATTGAAGGGGGGAGGGATATAAGTGGTATTTTTGAACATCGTCAGATTAAAAGGGCGGTGTGGTAATTTTTAAAGGGGAAACTAGCCCTTTGGGTTGTCAGGCATTGTAAAGGGGGGAAAAGGGGGAGGGTGATACGGGGAGGGTTATGGGGTCAGGTACAGATGCGTTGGTGTGTTGTAGGGCCCCGGCAGAGGGTGATGTACGCGTTAAGAAAAAATTTGTGAGGGACGTGCTGGTTTACTACTTGCTGGATTCCCGGGGGGGAGCCGTGATAGGAGGGGAGGAATGTGTGATAAGGGTAAGGATGTGGAACCGAGGGGGGGGGGGGAAATTGTATGGGAATATTGGAGAATTGTTACAGGGTGGGTTTTTGATCGATATCTGTGGGGGGGGGGTAGAGTCATTTATTAAGCGTGGGTTGCTGCTAGGGTCGATGTTTGTAGTCCCAGAAAGGGGATTACTAGGGGAGGGGGGTGGATTGGTTTTTTGATCATAGTGGGTTTTTGGTGGTTTTGGGGTTTGGGGGGGTTGCCCCCGAAAGGGGTAGGAGGTATTGGAATTAAATGTAAAGTTGTTGCATGAAGAAAATAAAGAAGCATTTAAACAGTTTTGGGGGAGGTTTTGGGGGCAGAAACGCCCGGGGAAGGTGATCTGGGTTAAAGGTGGGATCGGTGGCGAAATCAGGTATTAATGATTTTTTTGTACGTATGGGGGGAATAATAGGTTTAAAATAGGTTTTTAATCTTATCTTTAGGGGCGTGAGAGCTTTTACGAACGTGGAGGGTTAGTTACCCGGGGGAGATATTTAGGGGTTAAAGGAGGCTTAGGGATTTTTCAAATGAAAGATTTTATGGTGCACGGTTTTGGGGGGGTTGGAGGAGGTTTTAGGGGGGGATAGGGGCCCCGCGTGTGTTTAGAGGACACGTAAAGGGAGCGGGGACGGAGATGGGGAATTAACTGTTCATGTGGGGATGGGGGGGTAAGGGGAAAGGGGAGGTATTGATGTCGACTGAAAGGTATGGGGATATCATGAGCAGGTTTAGGTCATATGCAAACTGGTATCGAATATGCTTTAGGGAAATGGTGGGTTATGTGCAAAGCGAGCTTGGGTAGAGATAGGGAGACTTTGGAAAGGACGATTACGGAAGGAGAAATTTGGCAAGCTATAGCAGGTGCAAGTTTAGGGAAGGCACTGGTTAGACGGGTTGCCTAATGATTTTTTTGTTAAAACTGGGAAGTATTTAGGAGATTTTTAGTCAGATTTTCAAAGTAATGAAGGGATGGGGCAAAGGGTGAGCAGCAAAAGGGCTGCGTTTTGTATTAGTGCCGAAGGGGGAAGACCATGGTGAGAGTACCTCAATATCGCTTTTGCGGTGATTATAAATTATTTGCAAAGGGGGATTGGGAACAGAATCAAACAGGGGTTTTTGGGAAAATAAATTTATAGAGGGCAATATGCATACCGGGGAGATCAATGTATGAAGGGGATGGGTTATTAGGATTTTATAGAGCATAGGGGGGAGGGGGGGGGGGAGTTTTTTCTCTGGGTTGGAGAGCTGCTTATGATGCTAGAAAGGATCATTATGGATTTTAGCGTTGGGTTGGGGTTTCGGGAGGGAAAAATTTTTTCTTGGGGAAAAACTTTTTATCTGGGGGCATTATGAGAACACAGGTTAATGGCGACAGGGGATAGCATACAGATGGGGAAGGGTTTTCGACAGGGTCCCCCTGTCGCAAATTTTGTTTTTAGTCTCAGGAACCCTTTTTTAGCGCAGTTAGGTGGAGTAAGCGAGAGCGAGGGGTTTGGTTTTTTTCCCCGAGAAAGGGGGGGGTATAGTGGGGGTTTCGTGGATGATCGACTGTCTTGGGGAGGGGTGTAAGGGGTTTACAAAGGTAGGAAAGGGGGATAGACTTTTTGGTGAGGTACGGGGGGGAAAAAAATTTAAAGTATAAAGTCCCAAATATTTGAATTAGGGCATAGCGTACATATGGTGAGACTGTTGAGGGGGGGGGTGGCGTGTGGTAGATCAGTTGTTTAATTGGGATAGTGTTACATGCGGGAAAGAAGGGATCACAAAAGGGAAAATTTGAGGCACACCGTGGATGGAGTTTTGAAAAAATTGGGAGGTTTTAGGAGAGCAATTAACGTTCATCAAAGGGTTTAGTCACGAATGTCCCCGTTGATTGCAATTAGGCCGTGGTGGCAAATATCCGTTACACGTGTGAGGTGCAACGGTTGCAACGCGGGATTCAGTTTAATGGGGGTCGGGTTGTGACTGGCTAAGTAGGGGGGTGGGGTCGCTTCCCCTTAGCCAGGGGGGTGGGGCTTATACCTCTTTAGAAGCATATGTTGAGTCTG